ATTTTCAGAAGCCAAAGTTTGATCACCCTTGCATTTTCGATCTATCATAACTAAGCCAAAAATTCATTAAATTGAAATCGGAAAGCGTTCCTATGTTAGTTTTTAGTAGTTTCATAAATCTACATACTTAATTAAAATGTTTAAAAAATTCACATTTTTGTCAATTTTTTTTAATTTTATCGATGTTAAAAAAATGTAAAATTTTTGAAATTTTTTTTTAGTAGCCGGATGTATCTAGAAAGATTTGTTTTTTAATGCTGATCAAGAATATATATAATTTATAGGGTCGGAAATGCCTCCTTCACCTTCTTTTAAGCTTCTGACTAAAGGTGCAATACCATGGTTTAATCGATATTAACTATATATTTATATGCTAATTTTATTGACTAATAGATATTTAAAAATCGAATAACTCAGCCAAAAAGGCATTAATGTCAATTCGGAAAACCGTATGTTTATTTTTAGCAGGTTCATAAAACTGAATTTTTGAAAATTTTAACGATGTAACCCCTTTCATTTTTTTTAAAAAATTACAAATTTTTTAAAAAATCTGTTTGCTGATTAAGAATATATATAATTTATAGGGTCGGAAATACCTCCTTTACTGTTTTTCAGTTTTCAGACCAAAATTATAATATCCTGCAAAAGTATAATATTATATAAACATACACACCCGTTTTTAAGAAATTAAACTCACAATGTAAAGAATTTTAACAAATCCTCTTAAAAAAAATTAAATTTTCAGCATAAAAAACTATTATATATATAAAAATCAAACAATTTGCAAATGTACTTTGTATTAATTAAATCATATAAATACAGATTTTACAGGAAATACATTACTTTTTACATATTAAATTTCTAATATCAAAATAGTCACCCAACTTTTGGTTCTCTGCACAAAAAACCTCTAGATATCTGGCTTAAAAAAATTGTTCTTAATCAAGCGTTAATTTGCCGACCAACAACGGCAGCGGCAGTTGAATGAATATCTTGTAAACGGAACGGATTGGATAGGATTGGATCGAATCGGATCAGATCGGATAGAATCAGATGGGATTGTCTGTGGATGGGCTTAAACCTGGGTTGGGTTGGGCTAAAAATCAGTTCGTTTTGGCCATTACACCGGAGTTGCAGCGATCCTTTTATAGATACAATTACGACTTCGATTATTACACAGTCTTAAGAAAAAAAACCAAGACAGAGATCTCTGGGATTCTCTGTCTCTATAAGGTTCAATAACCTAATCAAAGCCACTGATAGATTCACGTTCTTTAAATAAATACAGAAACCCAACGAGAGAGATAACAATGAAATCAAATTTTGTATGCAATGACATATTTGTTGTTGTTTCCTATTTGCAAAACAGATCGACTAAAAACAAAAAAAAGAGAGAGAGAAATATAAATAAAAAAAGAAGGAGATGTATATATCTGGGCAGTCAGTGAGAACGAGATGGATAGATGCCACTTTAAACTAAAGACAAAACTATCGGTAAAATATAATAAAAATTTATGGCAGGCCATTGTTCAATTTTATTGTTATTATTTCGTCTCGTTTCGTTTCGTTTCGTTTCGATTGGTTAGCTTCTTCTGTTTTTTGTTGTTATTTTTGTATTCGAACATCAGTCTCATTCTAAAGAGACACCATCGTTTAGACAATACAAATTTCAGGACTATTGTCTGGGCTATCTAAATCAATACACAAAAGATGCGAATTTGTTGTTGTGGCTTTTGGCCAGAACTCTCAAGCGTTGACAATTAAAACCGTTAACAAAATAGTTGTCCAAACAATGGATCATTTTCTTTTGCATTTCTATTAAATGGAGGGTGTTGCAAAAAAACAAGAAATTTGCAACTCTTTTTTTTTGGGAAAGTATTTGAAGGGAAATGATACTGAATGACTAGCATTTCTTCTCAATGAAATCCAAAACCTATAAATATTTCCCTACTTTGCAGACGTTCTCGTAATCTGAATAAATCGTCATGTGTTTTAATGTTCTGTCCCATTAACTTTGCATAATTCCGAAATGCCATCAAAATGCTTTAATTTATTTAACATCTTTGGGGGACACAACACAAGAGATTCAACATCATCATCATCATCATTGTGTTGACAATCTCTTTCTTTTTTTGTGTATATATTATTTATGACGTTTTTTTGGCTAAATGTAAAGCGTGAAGTTTTATCAATTCCAGCAGACACCTGGCTACCTGGCCGAAAGATAAATGAATTCAAAATCGTTTGGAAATATTGATCAATAGAATTGGCAGCGAATCAAGGCGAAAGGTTTAGCCCAAACGATAACAATCGAAAGAAAGAACCACTAAACATCATCATTAGCATCGGCTCTGTTGTTCAGATCGAGTGTGAATTATATTAGAAGAGATCGTTTTGCCAAAAGAATGTTAACAAGATACCAAGGAGGAGGGTAAAGCCAGTTTAGCCAAAGGGTTGAGCCAGAAATTAGTTGCTGGAATATACAGAATAAAATATATATCAATAAGAACCAAGAAAGGAGCCGAACGCCGCAATTTCCATATTCCTCTATTTTTAACGATAGTAGCCCGATTTTCATAACATTTTACACAAAATTCTAGATTAATATATAATGGCTATATATCAAATTTGAAAAAAAACTGTTGAAAACTGGAATAGTTATAATTTTTGTTCTTTAAATTATCCGATCGTTTGGCAGCTATATATACATATGTATATACATATATAGTCCACCGATTTGCTACGCTCCGACTTATATACTAGTAAAATTATAAAGAAAAATAACCCCATAGATTCATGCAAATAGCTTAAATTTGTTCCAAAACAAATCTCGAACATCAGTGCTTATGATTCCCAACTTGTTCTAACATCCCCGGAACGAAGTGACTGCTGCCGGCCACGTATCAGATACGTGTTGTATTACAAAAGTTGCAAGTCATTGTTTATTAGTGTTCAAAATTAGTCACTGATCATATATACATACTTACTGGTCATACATACTTACTGATCATAGTTAGTTAATGTTCACTGATACTTACTGATCAGAGTTACTTACTGCTCATAGTTACTTACTGATCAGAGTTACTTACTCGTCATAGATAATTACTGTTCAGAGTTATTGACTGCTCATAGCTACTTACTGCTCATAGTTAATTAATGTTTTTAGATACTTACTAGTCATTGATACTTAGTGTTCAGAGTTACTTACTGCTCATAGGTACTTAATGCTCATTGTTAATTACTGTTCATAGGTAATTACTGATCGTAGTTGTATAAATCGTCTGATTGTTCCTATGGCAGCTATATATATGTATATATATAGTCCACCGATTTGCCACGCTCCGACTTATATACTAGTAAAATTATACAGAAGAATAACTCCATAGTTTCATTAAAATAGCTTAAATTTGTTCCAAAACAAATCTCGAACATCAGTGCTTATGATTCCCAACTTGTTCTAACATCCCCGGAACGAAGTGACTGCTGCCGGCCACGTATCAGATACGTGTTGTATTACAAAAGTTGCAAGTCATTGTTTACTAGTGTTCAAAGTTAGTAACTGATCATACTTATGTACTTACTCGGCATAAATAATTACTGCTCATAGTTAGTTAATGTTCACAGATACTTACTGATTAGAGTTACTTACTGCTTATAGTTACTTACTGATCAGAGTTACTTACTCGTCATAGATAATTACTGCTCATAGTTAATTAGTGTTTATAGATACTTACTAGTCATTGATACTTACTGATCATAATTAATTACTGGTCATAGATACTTAGTGTTCAAAGTTACTTACTGCTCATAGCTAATTAATGCTCATTGTTAATTACTGCTCAAAGATAATTACTGGTCATAGTTGTCTAAATCGTCTGATTGTTCCTATGGCAGCTATATATATATATATATATAGTCCATCGATTTGCCACGCTCCGTCTAGTAAAATTATAAAGAAGAAGAACTCCATAGTTTCATGCAAATAGCTTAAATTTGTTCCAAAACAAATCTCCCACATCTGTGGATATGATTCTCAACTTGTTCTAACATCCCCGGAACGAAGTGACTGCAGCCAGCCAAGTCTTAGATATGTGTTGTGTTACAAAAGTTGCAAGTCATTGTTTATTAGTGTTCAAAGTTAGTAACTGATCATACATACATACTTACTGGTCATACATACTTACTGATCATAGTTAGTTAATATTCACTGATACTTACTGATCAGAGTTACTTACTGGTCATAGATAATTACTGTTCAGAGTTATTTACAGCTCATAGCTACTTACTGCTCATAGTTTATTAATGTTTATAGATATTTACTTGTCATTGATACTTACTGATCATAGTTAATTACTGGTTCAGAGTTAGTGTTCATAGGTACTTAATGCTCATTGTTAATTACTGGTCATTGGTAAGTACTGATCGTATTTCTATAAATCGTGTGATTGTTCCAATGGCAGCTGTATATATGTATATATACAGTCCACCGATTCGCCATACTCCGACTTATATACTAGTAAAATTATAAAGAAGAATAACTCTATAGTTTCATTCAAATGGCTTAAATTTGTTCCAAAACAAATCTCGCACATCTGTGCATATGATTCCCAACTTGTTCTCACATCCCCGGAACGAAGTGACTGCTGCCGGCCACGTCTTAGATACGTGTTGTTTTACAAAAGTTGCAAGTCATTGTTTGCTAGTGTTCAAAGTTAGTAACTGATCATACTTTGTACTTACTAGGCATAGATACTTACTGCTCATAGGGAATAGGAAATAAATGCTTTACCATTTAAATGGTTCCTTATTTAGTATTATATCAAAACTAAGACCGAATTTCCTTAAACTAAAGTTATTTAAAACACAATGCATAACCTTTTCATTCATTTATTTAAATATTAATTTCTTTTATCTTTGTCATTTAAAGATGGAAAATATTGAACTAGGAAACTTAAATTATTTATAATACTCTAACATTATTTAAATCCCTTTACTTTCAGCCCTTCAAAGATAATTCCCATTGGAGGGAAAAGTGCACAAATCAATAAACCTGGTAAGTACATACGGAAACATCAAGAAATACATCGAAGACAATCAAAATTTGAAACCGGAAAAGAACTGGTAAGTTTCAATTTTGATTTCCCATGCGACAAGCGACGACTTTCCGTCATTAACCTTTCACTCGGCGATTATAATAAACCGAAATTATCAGCCATAAATATCAATGAGCCAAAAAGCTAATGTCAAATTCGATCAGAGATCGTGGGAAATGGGATCTCAGAGAATTACGAGTGCAAACAGGAAAGGGGTCTTCTCTATGCTGAATTTTTGTCTATTTTTTTGGGAAAATATATATCTAGTATTTCGATTGAAGAAAATTTACATAAAAGTATTGACTAGAATGGGAAGAGAGACTTGAGACGATCAATGCAACTTTGATTAAGTTGTTAAGGTCCCCCCCCCCAAATCTGTGGAAAATCAGGGAAAGGTGTGAAATATTACAGCTTTTCATCCTCACCCTGGGGACAGCGGGAAATGTTTTGATTTCGAACAAAACAAACGCCACGGGGGAATGCGCCAGAAGGAGAGAAGTGGAAGTGGACCCCTTTTTTTTCTTCTTAAAATATTCAAATCATTTTGAAATACGAGTCTGTATTTATTAGCGATTAGGACTGGGGTCCCCTTTGAGATTATTGGAGGTTTCAGAATTTACTGTGAACTTATGCAAATCCCAAATCGATCGTCTCTTTGGAAAGTGTCAAAAAGAAGAACTCGAACTCGAACTCGAAACGCAAACTTAGAACCAGCTGTGTATCTCTGTTGTATCTTGTCTATTGAAAACTGATATCTTTATCGGTTCGATATTCTTGTTAGCAGCGTTCTTCAATTTATTTTGGTCAGTGGAAGGTGTGAAAAGCCAGAAGAGCTCCACGGATCACAGGTGAGCTTGGCACACGTTAAAGTTCAACACTCGTGTGGGTCACCCTTCGCTTTTTGGTCAATTGAAATGCAAATGCCGTCGACAGCCACGAGTTGAAATATTTAAATACAAAATGACAAATCGCTGAATTATGAATCGGAATCTCATGAGTCGCAGTTGGAATTCAAGTTTAAGACTTCTCCTCTCACAAACAAAAAAATACAAGAATAAAGAACAAATGAAATGAAACATTTTCCTTACATCGAAGGCACACAAAACAGTGTTATCGTTGAAAAATGAATGAATAGCAAAAGGGTTTGCTACATACATATGATACCCTAGAAGTTATATATATCTAATTTTTTGGGTGGCTTTATATTATATTCCACATACTTATTTTAAGCAATATTTACTTTGTTTTATATGTGTCTTAAAATAATTTCCCTAGTTTAATGTAATATTCTTCTTATACTGTGAGGTATCTTATTCGTTTTCAAGAAGCCCCTTCAACTTCTACTTTAATATGAATTAATATGTTTCTATTGTTTTTTTGTTTTTTTTTTTTTGTGGCCCTTTGGTTGTTTTTTGTTCTATTTAACAAAAATTTATTGAAGCATCAGGGCTAGGCAGAAGAGAAAGGAGCTTAGAATTTTATTTATATTTTGTTTGAAACTGGGCTTAGAAAAATATAACAATCACCTTGTTTGAAATTCTATAGGGGTCTTATGTAATAATTCCCTTCACCAAAGGGATATTATTTGTAAGAAATAATAGAAAAGCTTAAAGAATTGATTTACTAATGAATTTGCTTAAGAATGTTTAAAATTTCACCAATAAAATGCAATGAATTTAGTTTGTTTCACAGAAATATATTTATAAAAAGTCCTTGCCAATTTATTTACCTTATAATTTACTAATAAATAAACATTTCTCATCTTACGAAAACTGCTTGTTAGTAATGAGTTTATCAATGACTTACTGGTAATATATTTACCAATTGATTCACTAATGAATATTTATTAACAAAATCAACTAATTAAGTTTTATGTATTTATCTTTGAACTAACAAATGTTGATCTAATTTAAAACAATCAAATTACAAATGAATTCAAACTTAAAATCCCCCAAAGAATTTATTAAAATCACCAATGAATTAAGTTCATTCTCCAGATGAATATTCGAATATATTCACCTAATGAAATTTGCAATACATTTTGCAATAAAAGAACTTTGCTTTTGAAAAATTGAAATTTAAAATCTATGATTTCTTTATAGATTTACACATGTGCTTAGTGTTTATATTATTATTATTTTTTTATGTGTGGCACGACAACCGTGGCAAAAGCATGCCTTGGCCAAAATAGCGAACGAGGCACGTTGCAGCAAGTGGCAAATGGCAAGTGGCAAGTGGCAAGTGGCAGTTGGGAGGAAGAAACTAAAGTCAGGGTCTCGTAGTCACTCAGCCAGCAGCCGTGCGGCAAATGAAAATATTTATATACAGACTTGCACATTGATTCCTCCTCGGTAAGGTAACGGTAAGTGCACTCTATGCAAACATTGCCGATGCAAGTACAAGTATGAGTATGAGTATGAGTATGAATATGAGTATGAGTATGAGTACTCACTTGCTGCCTGTCGGGGCATCCCCTCCTTTGAGGTAGATTAACTCTTCTAATCTCTTGATTCTTTATCCTTATTATTATTTTCTTGACTCCACACACGTGGCGTATGCGTAATCCGGCGCTAATTTTAATTAGGCCTCCAAGTGAAAGAGGATAAAAGAGGGATTAGGCGAAAAAAGATGCGGAGAGGTGAGATCTTAATTAATTTATTACTGCTGTTGAAAATGTTGCTACTGTTGCTATTCCCACTGATGATATTTGTTAATGTTTAAGGCAGTAACCCAAAGAATTGCTGTCCTATATCTGAAGTTTTTTTTTATGGAATTATTTATAGCTGCTTTATAATGTATTCATAAGTCTTATCAAAAATTTTGTAAAATTAACTATTTGGGTACTTGAAACTTTAGGTCAAATTAAAGACAACATTTGACTTAAAAATAAGTCAATATGTATTCTTTAATCATTGATCACTTGATCATTGACCACCTGCTGTCTATCCCAACTTTTCCTTCTTTTCCATATAGTTTTCCTATCAAAGATTTTTCATACAACTTCCACATCTTTTTGTGGCTTTATTTCCTATGATTTCTGTTTGGCTTTCGATCACCTGTTTGATAAGCCATTAAATGCTGACCAAAGAACAACCTTCACCAGTTCACAAAAAAAAAAAAAAAGAAGCAAAAGAAGATTTCCCAGTTGCAAGTTGCACGTAGCACGTTTGCTGATAATCTATCGTCGTCTATCAGCATGCATCATGTTGCAACTGGCAAGTGCAGCAGCAGCATCAGCAGCAGCAACTGTTTTTGGGGGAAAATGTTGCAAATGCTGTTTGTATGTGCCTTTTGCGTTATAGTTCTATGAAGAGTCTACCGTCTACAGTCTGCAGCTGCATGATTCTTGGATCTTGGAGTTTTTCCTCGCCAGCGCACCGGCAATCATTCACTTTTAGCCAAAGCATAATAACAATATTTCAACTAGTCGCAGTCTCCTGGCACGCGATCCATCTTGACTGGATTTTATATGACTGGATTTTATATGGATCTTCATGGGAGAAGGTGGGGACACGGGGAGGCATCGCATTATTTCCACAACGAACGCTCGATGGCGCATAGAATTTCGATTTAATCGCGTTCGCTGCCCGCTGCTGCTGCTGCTGCTGCTGTTGATCTGATCTAAGTTGCATTTAATAATCGTCGTCGTCATCGTCATCGTCTGGGGCAGCAACAAGTTTACTTGCCACCAGTGCTGATCAGCACAGATTGATTAAAAAGGATAGAACAGCAGGATAACAGCTGAAAAGGGATAAAATATGGGGAATTAAGTTAGTTATTTACTAGAGAGCAATGTATTTCTTCTACGAAATTAAACTAAGGAAAGCTATTTTCGTATCTCAAGTATCAAAAATATATTATAATGCATAAAAGTGCAGAAAAAGCATAATTAATTATACAATATCCAAGCATCTCTTTCAAAATAAAAACCAAAGTCCTCAATGCATCCATAATTAAATTATTTATTTGTACTTTAAATATAATTTCAAGATATCTAAAAGAAACATTAATCTATACAAAATGTATAAAAAAAAAAATGCTGAAAGGTACCTTGTGAAAGCCGAAGTTAATTTATCTTTGCAGTGTGCTAATGAATTATAGGATGGAATAGAAAATCAATAATAACTAAGCTTAAAATATTACAATCTTTAAGTCAATATTTATGAAGATTTTTATATGACAATTTTTTTAAATAATCAAAATTTAAAATATCATAGCTAGGCCAAAAAATCACTACTTGTAGTTCGGAAAACGGCCGTTTGTTTATTTTTAGCAGGATAATAAACTGCATACTCAATTTAAAACGTAAATTTTTGGCCGATTTTTAAAAATTTTAACAATGTAAAATTAAAATTAAATTAAAAATTGATAATTTTCGAAAAAAAAAAATTTTCTTCCGGAGATACCTAGAAAGATTCGGCTCGTGATGCTGATATAAGAATATATATATTTAAATATATATATTTATAGGGTCGATTATGACTCCTTCACATCTTTAGAAACTTCCGACTAAAATTATTTTCTATAAAAATATGGATTATATATAAGACAAATTAAATAATTCAAAATATTAAAAGACATGTCCAGAAAAAGGACAAGCTAGCAGCACTTGGCAGACACAACAGGCAAAACAGGCTGCAGATGCTGTGGCTTTGCTGCTGCTGCTGATGTTGCAGATGTTGCAGATGCTGTTGCTGCTGCTGCTGCTGTTGCTATTGCCGCTGTCAACGTCAAAGTCATGGCATTTGTTGCTGTTGCTGTTGCTGTTGCTGTGTTGCGCCTACATTCATATTTCAGCAATTAAAAATCTAATTGACAAATACTTGAGAGACAACGTGAAGGCAGTCCAGAGAGAGAGACTGGACGAGTTCGAGTTCACAGTTGTTGCAGCTGCTCCACATGCAACATTCATTGCACTCCCTAGGCCCGTCCCACCTCTCCTCTGAACAAGTTTTAATAA